ATATATATAGCATAAAATTTTAAAATTTAATCTTTTTATTATGAATACTTTAATAATGAAGTGTCGTGTTTTGATTTATTTGAAGTGATTGTTACTAGGTCATCATTATTTTTTCCTATAGGTTAGACAGCTGGTTGTCCGCTGCTAATTATTTTGTTTGACAATTAATAAAGAAACAGGGTTAAATGCTACAGAAATAATGCTGATGGTTTAGTAAATAGAATAGTTGCTTAGTATATTTTGGCACCAGGAATTTCTTTTTAGCGACAAGCTTGTCTTTTGAACATAATGGCTACGATATTTACGGATTTTGATAAATATAACGTTATACATTAGGTCTATATTAGAAAACATTCCGCATATTTTCTATTAATCTAAGTATTATAAAGAATTGTAAGTATCCTCTGTATATAAATTTTCATTTATATTAATATAGATGCTTGTTTGATTTGCTAACTTAATTGCTTATTTGTAGAATGCCTGAATGCCTGGCTATTAATATACTGTACTTAACTACTTATCTGTGTATCGGATGCAATTAAATTAATATAATCAATTAATTTATGAATGATTGAATTAAGAAAAATATATATATTATTATGAGAATATTATAGATCAGATACATTAAGAAATATATTAATTAAGAAAAAAAATCTTTTATGTTATAAAATAGAGAATTTTTATCAGAAGAACAATTTCTAAAACTTTTAAAAGTAAAGATTTCTTATATTACAAATACAGTCGAATCTTCAATAGCGGCTACCTCTAAACTGCAGCCATTTTTCAGGAACGTTTCTTTATGTAATGAATATAAAATAACTTCCAAACAACGACCACCTGTGAAGAACGACCATTTTTTTTTATGTTTCCGTCACTGGCCGCTGTTCAGAGTTTGACTGTATTAAGAATTCAAGTTAAAGTGTATTTAATTTTTAGCTTAAAAGTTAGTATATTATCAATTACTCACAAGTTCAATATCAACAAAAGTCAGTTCAAAGAACGATTATGTAAATATTAATACTTATCCTGAGAATGTACTCATTTTTAATACTTAATTTTTATGATTTTTCTATGAACATCTAAAAGAGGATATCAAGTTGTCCTATAATTTCAGATTACTGTTAAATTTAATACAGCGTATCATAATTTTAAGCTTTGCATTAATATTCTACAAATGTTTACTATAAATTTTCTGTAAATAGAACAAAAATCTTGTACTATTATTAATGATTAAAATTAAAATTAGGACCTAGTTTTAAATACATAATCGTGTACAGTATATAGCTTATTTAAATTTTATAGATTTTGTAATTGTATATTTAATTAATTTTATCTCAAAACAACTTTTAAAAATTTTCATTTCTATAATACTACATTTTGTGTATTATTAAATGCAACCATATAAAATCTTTATAAATATTTTAATGACACACCCAAAAATAGCCTATATTTTTTTTTCTCTATAAATAAGGAACTGGCTGATTAATATAATAAAAGATTATTATTAATTAGCTAAAATAACATGGCTTATATTTATTTATATATTAATTATTATTATTTATATTTGCAAGTAGTAAATGTAATTTATTATTGTAAAGTAGAGAAAGCATTTTTTGAGGTGCACTTTTTGAAAACACCAAATACATTTATCACATAATATATTTATCCAATATAAGAGTATCAACATAAACTGAAAACTTGGTTAAAATTATTATTACAGAGTATATATTTTAACATTTTCTAGGTCAGATTTAATCTTACTGTAACTCTTAAAGTTTCAGCATTAATATTCATGTTTCCTATACAACATCGGAATTGAATGGTTTTTCTGTTTTAATATTTCCTTAAAAAAGTACACAAGTACACTTTTTATGAAAATAAGAGAGTAATAGAATTGTAATTGCAATACAATTATGATTCAATCATTCGTCAGATATATATATAAATCCTTCATATATAGTCCTTCAGTTATATAGGCCTATATATAAATATGTATATAACTGAAGGACGTACAACAATAAATAAAAGTTAAATTAATATTTACTAAATATGCAGATGAAATATTATTAAATTAGCTTATTAACTGTTATAATATTTCGAGAAAAGATAATAGAATTAACATCGTTTAAGCAATCCGACCAATTTTAAAATATATAATAAAGAAGAGATTATCACGTATGTCATCATATTTTCTCTCAGTTTATAATTTCTTTATTAAAAATAATTACTCATCTATAAAAATTTTCAACGCAGAAATGAAAAATTGTGATAATTAATGAAGTGTATCTAACCGTATTCTTAATTGTTCCTGTGAGATGGCTCCAATTATGATACATTGTTTTCATCCTTAAGAAAAAATAAATTTAAATTTATACTATAAAATCATTGAAGCACTGTAATAAACTATTTTTTTTTTGTTAGCGTAAAAGGAGAAACACGTGTCATTTATTCCAATTACAAACCTCTAGGAAGTCTAGCGACTTTTGATATATCGGGTCAAGTTCTGGGAGGTCTGAAGCACCCTACAGTGAAAGGTGAGTTAATAAAATGCACAAATCCAGTTATTAACCAATCACTATCAAATCACCTCCCAAAGCAAAACGTTTGTTTGACACTATTTACTTTTACCTCCAGGTAACCAATGAGGCTTCTCTTAGTGGATTCGCTGATTTGAATCTGAAGGCACGATCCGTAATGACAATTTTTCTACCTGACTGCCTTCCCGGTTTCACCAGAATCTAAGCAGTAGTGCATTCGCCCACATAATTACCGGAAAGTCTAGCCAGACAGATACGTACTTTGCCTCTAGTTCCGAGCTTATAAGTTAGCTGTATTATATAACCTATTCTTGATATCGTCTATAGTAAATTGGATATTTTACTATATATCCTCTTCGACAGTCTCGTTATTGCAAGATAAATGGATGGATGATAGATAGGAGGAGTAATAAATACATCTTCCTGTTTGTGCTCTTCGTTTCGGAAGAATTAATGATAAGATAGAACTTCGAGTAGATATGATGCTCTGGTTGAAAAAGTGAGTAGGAATTTTAAATTTTAATATAAATTTTCAGCTTTTATTAAATGTAATGATGATTTGCAGACATAGAAATATATATATTTTTTAATTAGTCAAGTTTTTGTAATAGCATATTCTTTATTTTCTTCTATCGCGAGTAAAATCCGGTGATGCTAGTTGACTGTAAGGCTTCATCATCACCTCCACAACTGAAGGGCTACTCTCGGCCATTGACACGACTGATCCATGTTGAGTTTTGACTTTAGGCATCACTAAACCGGTCCACGTATATGGAGATATTGGGCTAACCCTAGAAAGATGTAGAGTAATATCTAGATTTTTATATATATATATATATTAAATATCTGTAATCTTTAAGTCGTATAGAAATTATAGGTTGTTCCCCGGAAGTAGAGTTTTGTTACATAAACAATTTCAATATATAATAAACGTATCAGTATAAAAACTTTTATGTTAATAATTATGCGCTTAGAAACTAATAGAAAAGCGTGACCTAATTACATATTTACATCGTCCGTAGGACCCAAACTAAAGTGTATTCGTCTGATTCTCTACGCTTTTAAACATTTATGACCTGGATTATTATAGATTAGCCTAGAGGTAGTATGGATCATGCGTTTTAATCTGCCGTTTCACACAGTTAGCCCATTTTCGAATATAGAAAAAATATTTCTGACAAATGTATCATTTATACATACAAACTATAGAGGGAAAAAATTATAATGAATAAACAAAAAACAATTGTAAACGAGCCGGTGAATGCCTGAAATGTTTCTCTCTCTCTCTCCCCGATGTAATTTATCATACATAAAAAGAAAATAATGTAAAATTCTACTTACCGTAGTTAGGCCTACTTACTTTTTGTATGTTTTGTAATTTCCTCCAGTAAATAGACCATTTAGTAACAATGAAGCAAGAATGTAATCCTTTACCATGAATTTGTGGTTTAAACATTATACAATAATGAATTTACGGATGAATCACGGTCATATTGTATTATCATTCAAATAAATATATTCGTAATTTTTATAATAAAAACATACAAATTTCATTGTTATATTATTTAAATTCATGTAAAAAGTAAATCTAATAACGTTAAAATATTATTATTATTATTATTTAACTGAATATCTATATTTCTTATACTACTTAAGATATAAAAGTTAATATAAAAAATTCTTATCTATTCAGATATCAATCAGTTGTGACATTATTAAATCATATTATTAGCACATTATTATCATTATTATATCTTTAATTTTTTTAATAAAAACCTTAATTTTCGTCTAAAAATATATATATAGTCTATCAATATTTTAAAAAATTTTCAAAAGAAATTAATATGTTTTCATTAAACAAAATCGTTGTTACAACGGTTTGTTTAATAAAAAGAGAAGGGTTAAGTTGTAATACATGATCTAACGGAAGCAATGAAATTTATAATTAGANCACTAATCCGACTCAACATTTCCAAAATACGTATATTTTTTCGTAGTTTTATAGGAATCGTAATTATAGGGACCGTAATTATAGGGGGGTCGACTGTAATTACCTGTTAAATTTTATCAATATATCTGAAAGAATAAAATTAACAGTTAATAGGCCTATACTGTAAGATAATTAATGAAAAATGAAGACTACAGCAACCATCAAAAAACTATTTCATTTACTAATGAAAAGCATATATTGTATGTGCAAAACTGATATGTACTAGTTACGGTTATAACATTTTAATGTATTAATGTATCAGTTCACTTTTAACAGAATTTTATTTTAATGCATAAATTGTAAATTTTATGTACAGTACTTATATATGCATTATGCTCTAAAATAACAAGTACAGAAATTAAATGTTTACATACCTGGAAAACTGTTTATTAGAACTTGTTGCAACTTGGTTTGTTGCTGAGCAGCCTTCAAATTTTCTACAGGAACAGTATAGGGAAACTGTGTTTCTACAGCTTTAAATCCAAAATCTTTAGCTGCTTGATATCTATCAGATAAACATTCATATTCTCTAAAAAGAGTTGAAATATTAGCAGCAAATCTGAGTCTCATTTTTGTTCTTGTTTTTTTCTTAATATGAAGACTAGAAAACTAATTGCACTTTAAATGCTTGTGAAGAAAAATTAAGCAAATGATAAGATCAAAAAATTTATCAAATGTAATGGGCAAAGATCAATGTTAAAAGATCTCATATTTGTTTAGACCTTTAAACACGTGGTTAAGTTAACTAATTTCACCGCTAGAGGCGTCACAAAAAAACTTTTAAAATGTGTTTAAAAATAATAAATTTATTTAAAAAAAACAAGCAATTATTTATTGTGACATCGTCACAATGCCGGCCTGCAATTTTTAATTATATTTTTTTAAATTTATTTTATAGGAAGTTTTTTATTGTACTAATCTAAACTGCGACTTTTAAACATAAATTATTAAATTAATAGAACAAAATGGGCGCATTAGCGCGTGTCTTTTCATTATACATCTAGATAAATCATTAAAATTAGAAAATGATTTCCTCATCTACTTATATAGATCTAAAAGTAGGTCCAACACAGATTATTGTAAATAGTGCAGGACTATCGTCATTCTTATGATACAGACTCTTATATATATCAATATATCAAGCATTAAATTACTCAAATGATTAATATCATAGCTTAATACACTTCCTATACAAAATATAAGTATATAACAAACAGGTATGGCAGTGATTATTGTTAATTATAAAAAAATAATAGAAGAAATTATGATATTAATTACATAAGTAGGAGCATTTGCAATAAAAATCTTGCTGTGACTGCAAATTTTGCAATATAGGAAATGTTATTCTTAAATAGAGTGCATTAAGTAACATAAAGTAAAATTTTAAAAAATGCAGAATAAATGACGCAAGATTGATTTTTAAATTATTAATTAAGACTCTTAAAGATAAAAAGAAAACTTTTTAAACACTAAAATAACACCAGAACTTAAAACCTCTCTAGGCTGTTTCTAGTTATTACACTCAAAATTAGAATTTAGAATAACCAGGAATAGCCTCAAGAGAGAGTGAAACATTTTTATTTGAAAATAAATGATTCTGTAATACTTTTTTTTTATATAATAGCTGTGTGAGTTTTACAATTAAACAATAAAAAAAAGTTTTAAGCCATTGTGCATGTTAATTTTGTTCACATCGTTCATCAAATTGTCCACTTGTAATCTGTAAGGACTTCTGTCTTTAAACTGATTGAGGAAATGAGTTTCAAGTTTCCACAATATGCTTATGTTACCGGAGGTATTGCTAAAATTGTACTTGAAACCACATACCGGTACATAAATAAAAAAATATTGTGGTTCTAAATTTTAAAGCGGTACACGAAACTGAATGAAATTTTGTTTAGTACATAACTAATATCCACATATAAACTATGGAGTAAAGAAAAGAAAAAAAAAAAAAAAAACTCAAATTTTCTTGAAATATATTTAAATCTATTCAAAATATTTAAATTTATTCAAACGTTTTGAATAGATTTAAATATGATTAAAATATTTTTAGTATAATTTGTGTATACAATAAAATAATAATAAAACAAAATAGTATGATTTATCTTTTATAAATTAACATAAGAAAATAAATAAAAATTTGTTTTTATTTCAATAATATTTTAACAGATTGAATAATACTTGACTAAATCTGTGTACCAGTTGGTTATTCTTGATATAACCAAATTTACTGAAAACTAATTTATTTTTCTAATGTTTAACGAAATTAAATATAATTTTTTTTTATTATGTGTTACGATTTTAAAGCAGAATAAATTACAATCATTAGTGTGTGGACTGTATTGAATTAAAATCAGTACTTTACTCGTTACAAGATCCTCTTCTAGTTAGCTTTATGAGAATGATAATTACGATCGCTTCTCATTGTTAGTGCAACTTAAAAAGATGTTCGAGTACATAATTGAATTTATATTGAAAATATCATAGACAAACAATAGTTGTACATATATTAATTATATCAATTAATAGTTTTAGATTTTAATTTATAAAAGAAAAACCATGATTTTAAAAGGAGAGATTTGTTAAAGTGTAGTTTTTATGCAATGTGTAGAACATAAAAAATGCAATAAATTGATAATTTAATCGTGTTTCATTGCATTTTAAATCGTTTCTCAAATATGTTGCTATTTTTAATATAAGCCCTCGAGGACACAGGAAGAGGAGTATGCTAGGTCAAAAGCATTATAAGAGCAAATTATATTTTGTTTATGTTCCATAAAAGAATTTAGGGTGAGAACTGCATACGATTCTTATTATCATGACGATTGTTTTATTTTCTTTTTTTTTTTTTAAATGAATTTTTAAATTTACTCTTTCAGGTAAAATTTGTAACAGAGAATAACAGATAAGAATTTTAAAGTAATAATAATCAGAAAAGTATATATTACTACACCATAATTTTAATTAAAATATAATTGTAGAATTATAAAATTACAAAGACGACTGAAACCGAAAGAAGTATATTGCATAAAAATCCAAATAAGCTAAGGACATTGACATTATGTTCGGTGATGTGTCAATCATTTCTTGATGTCATTCAAGTGAATCACTTCCTTCAGAGGGAAACATTATGGTATAACACAAATTCTATATTTCTCGCCAAGATCCTCTATTAAAAAAAACCATAAAGATAATTAAAAACTTTAATAAAGCATAAAAATTATTTTAAAGTTCTAGTTTCTTCCCGAAATTAATATAGAACATTCACTCTTCGTAACACCAAGTAAAAAGTGTGGACAAATCACAGCCATAAGAAGAAAAATTATCATTTATGTGTATTTCATGTAGTATCCAAAATTATTAATGTAATAGTTTTTAATTATAATAATTAAATTTAACTATAGAAGTAGAAAAAATAAAATAAAATAAAAAGACAATCACCTGACTCTTGTTCCCATGAGAAAGTATACATTTGTTATTATTATTCAAAATAAGCATTTTGCACTCTATAACTTATTCTAATCATTAGAAATGCAAAGAAGGTGTAGATATTTTATGGTATGAGCATATTTAATAAGTTTTAAGTCGAGTATTTATTTAAAAAAAGGTAATAATCTTACAAATTACCTAATTAAAATAATTTATTTTGAAATATTCTCTTGTAAATGCTTAGTGATCCGTACGATAAAAAATAATTTCTGATAAAAAGAAGCTGTGTAGAATTCGGAACATTTTGTAAATAATATTACCTAAAGGCACGGTACACAAGGAAGAAAGGAACTTGTTTGATTCTAGATATGACTTATGCAGGAAATAACGAGAAGGTAGCATTCAGGTGACCTTCAGTAATGCGGAAGTCGTACTTGAAATGGACGAACGTCAGTTTTTATAGAAAGATCCTGAACTGAAAGCAAAAATCACTTTTAAATCTAATAATTAAAGAAACAAAATTTGTTTAAGGAATTCTAACATCTTCCATTATTACTGAAAAATAATTTTCCTTTCTTTCTACCATTAATATATTATTATATAAGATATTAATTACTTAAACAATGTTTATTATTTTTAAAAATAAATTTTTATACTTTCAAAATTTTATTAAATCATATTATATTATAAACTTTACTATTTGAAATTATTTATTTTTACACCAGAATGCTTCGATTATATTCTATTTACAGTTAGAAAAAGTAAAAAAAAAAATCTTAAATTAATTTCGTTTATTTAAATTTACTTTTCTAGATTTTTAAGACAATAAATCCTTAAATTTTCAAGCCTTATTTATCATTATATTCTGTATTTTCTATGACAACTTTTTTAAGTTCATTAAACTACTAGAAATTATAAAAAGAAGTAATCTATTTTAAGTAAATCGTTGTAGCATAACGTAAAATTTTGAATAATAATAATAATAATAATATTGTGCGATTTTACCGCATACAAGATCGTCCCATTCTCTTGTTTTTTTTTTTTTTTTCATTATTAAAAATTACAATAGACAATATATCATGCCTAGTTTGATTATGACTGGAATATATTTAAATGCTTCTATGTATCAACAATAAACCTATAAATATCTTTTTGTTTATAAGATAATTTCAAGCAACTATAAATAATAAAAGTAAATAGAATAGCCTATACGTTCAATCGAATTTTTCTTATAATTTCTTTACTCTACAATGAAAAGAAGTTTTACAAATCTATTTTTATGTTATTGAAAAATACGATTTGAATTGTTTTCTGATTATAATATTTTACGAGCAAATCATTTCAAATTTTTTTAATAAAAAGAATCTATTTTAATGAACGAATGTGAGATATTTTAGATTGTTATAATAAAAGAAATGCTAAATAAAAAAAAATTAATTTAGAGGAAATTGCTATTTTTATTGCAAATAGAAAAGGAAATTTTAAAGTGGTCATAAAAAAATATAAACAGAAAAGTAGCGTGCATTTAAGTAGAAACGTTTTAAATTTAATATATTTTTGTAACAATTTTAATTAAGTAATTATTTATATTATTTTAATTTCATAAAATAACAATTAAAATTATTTTTACGTAGAATTATTTTGTACTGTACAGTATAAAGATATTGAACAATACTGAATGAAACAAAATATTAAAGTTATCAATTTTTTAAACAATAATTTAATTCTTAAAATTGCTTTAGTTGTTAACCTAAAATTATTTATCAGTTAGACAATTGTCATATGTGTGAATTAGAACTAAACATAACTACTTTTTCCAAACACCTTTAGAAACAATACAGTTTTAAACATCTCATTGTCATTGTATCTTTTCAATAGCTTTTTATGTTCAGATAATGTCTTGCCTTTTTTAACGCTTTTAATAAGACAAAACTTATTATGTGAGTTGATTAATTGTACATTATTAAGATCCTTATGGCTTTCAGATATTTTTTTTTAACTCATATATTTATTGTTTCTATTAGAAGAAAAATATCCTTTTTTTTTTTTTTTCTTTCTTTAAGAGATTAATAAAAATATATATTTACTTATCTTATTAAGAGTGAAAGTTTTGACGGTTTTTAATATAAATACATATGTATACTGTACATACATTTCATAATTCCTTAAATCAAACATCTTATTAGTGATATTTAATGTGTATATATGTGAATAAATCTTTCAACATATTTTTTTAAATATTACATATAATCTGATCCAATATTTAAAAAAAAATATTATAAAATATTTAAAGTTAAGATTATTTATTGTTAAATTTATAATTTTAATTTCATTTTAGATTTAGAACTGTTGTATCTAAACCCTGACCTGACCTTCTTTACATAAATTCTAACACTTCCTCATTGTCAATTTAACCTTATAATTACGAACTTTGACTTTTCACAGGTGGCTAGAGGTCGATGAACTAAATTTTAACTGTGTTCTATTTTTTAAATACTTTTTTTTTATCTATAATTTTGTATCTTATGAATAAATTTTTAAAGAATAAGTTTAATTTTATTTTTAGGTGTTCGACGGAGTTATACTCGTGCCAAAGTTGATCAAATGGGTAATTCGAGTTCTCATTCCGTACAGTTGGCACAAACTAGATTATCTCTGTGCACAGAAGAAACAAAGAATAAAAGATATGCTAGTCCAGAAAACAAAGTTCTTCCACCGCCCATATCAGGACAACGGTTAAGGAGCACCGATAACGGTTCGATATTACATAATGGAGGCACAATCAGCGGAAGAAAGAATAAACTTAATATTTCAGAAACAGATTTAGTCAAAGCAACTAGCAGAAAATGTGACTCAAAACCAATTTATGGGCATCGAAAATCACATAGTGATCCGGATATCATTCGAAGAATGATGGCTTCTTCCGATATGGGAGATCAGGAAATTGATAATCATAACAATAGGAAAAGTATCATAGCCATTAGTCCGAGTAAAGCCAAGATTAAATCAAGAAAGAAAATTCGTGCTCCTGAACCTCCGTTATCTAGTTCTTTACCTAGAGACTTGAATAGATTTTCATTAAAAAATGACGCTTATAACGGTATTTATGAAAGAAAGAATAGCGATTGTTATCTTCCTTCCATTCCTCCTCCACCTCCGCCTCCCGATTACAATAATAAAGACGACGAAAAGACAAAAAATATTTCAAACTACGAAAAGAATAGACGTTCTTTAGATAAGTGGAGATTAAGCAAAAACGCTAGAGACGAAAAACTAATTAATAAATCTTTCGATAAAATGGATGAAAATTCTAAAATGTCTGAAGAGGATCGAAGTTCTTTAGTTTTAAAAGAAAACGGTCAATCTAAAGAGTTAAAAGAAGCCATAGAGAGACTTTCTTCGAAAAGAAAAGAAAGAACAGATAAAAAAATTTCTGAAGCTCAGAAAACAAATAAAAAAGAAGAACGCCCTTGGGAAAATTTAAAAAAGTATTATTTTGCTGATGTAGAATGTCTTAAACCGAATGTAGAAAGGAAAGAACAGACAGATTCAAAATCGAAATCGTATGTCAGTAGATCAGATTCTCCAAGACATACTAAAGCTATAGTTTCTAATACATACTTAGCTTCTGATCAATTATCTCCCATAACCAAAGTCGTAAAATATACGAAAAAAGATTTACAACCGTCGTTATCTGCGGAGAAATGTAAAACTAAACAAAAATTAAATGATAAACAAAGGTTTTATAAATATAGTAATGAAGAACCAGAAGAGAGATTGGAATCATCATCAGCTCTAAGTTGGTCAGAAGAAGAAGACATAGATATCGATCTTCAACTAAAACCAACCTTACCTAAAAGACTTTCGGATGTATCTAGATTCTCTCCAACAGAAGTATGGAAGTCCATTATTATAGACCCAAAATCTAATATGGTATTAGATCCAAGTAGTGATGAAGGAGAGATACTTGAAGATAAAATCCAAAGAATAAGTAAACCAATTGCACCCAAACGTCAAATATCTGATAGATGCGAAGATTCTGGAATATCTCCCGATGATGATAGTCCCTTATTGCATCGTGAAAGATCAAGTGGAAAGTTAGAATGGAGCTTTCCTATTGAAGAAAATATGAATTCTGCTTGGGTTCCTCAGCATGATCTGTTAGATGATTCTGAAGGAGAAGATGCTCCCTGCAAGAAAAGACTGCCACAGATTATAAACATGCAACCTAAATTCACTTTACCAAACAACATGTTTACAGGGCAGAAATATAAGGATCAGGAGAGTAGTAGTAGAGAAAGTGATAAAGTTAGGCATAGAAAGAAAAAAGAAAACAAATCTGATCACTTTAATAGTTTAAGAAATTTTAAGAAAGTTCTAGGATTTCGAGCAAAATCTTCTGGGAATCAAAATGGATTGGATGCCAACTGGTCACTCAGTAGAAGTTTACCTGATTTTGTAAATGGTTTACAGATTGCCGACAACAGCAAAGATTCTCCAAAAAGTCAACGATCTATGAAAGAAGAAAAAATTTGGAGGAACAACTCGACTTCTTTTGTTGCCAAACAGGACCAGAAACAGGATGATAATAGTAGAGAAAATATGTTAGACTATTCTAGAAGAGGGCATGTTATGTACCTCCCCGAATACGAAACTACAGACGTTAAAAGTAAAGATCAAGATAAAAAATCGCTTAACGACAAGCAAAAATTTGCTTATAAGAGTACAATTAGAAAAGTTGAAAGGAAAATGTTGGAACAGAAATTATCTAAAGAGATATTAGAAAAAGAAATGATGCGAGAGAAAGAAAAAGAATGGATGAAGAAAGTCGAAGAAGAATTTAAAAAACAACGAGAAAGAGATAAACAGAAAAAGATATTATCCAGTGAATTCAGAGAAGATAAACATTGCCAAAATAATCATAACAGATGGAAGCACCAAACTGGAATGGGTAAATGGCTTCGTCGGAGTACGCAGAGGATAGAAGTAAGGCCAGAACCCGAAGGAGGACGATCTTCAGGTGAAGAAAGTAGACATACAGAGTTAAATTTTCATTCAGAACGCCAACATTCCAATATAGAACCAAACAACGATAGGTTTATAGATACTGATGATTTAGTAAAAGAGCAATATGGAATTCATACAGAAATTCGAAGAACAGGCAGTGGTAGAACTTTTCAATCCCATTCGTATTACATGATAGAAAGCCACGAAGAACTGTACGAAGACATAAAGGATGCCAAAATGCAAACATTAGATTCAATAAAAAATAAATCTAGACTAAATTTATCATCACAACCAAATATGAATGTGAGGAAAAAAATTAAAAAGTTTGAGGTCCATTCTAGAAAAAAGAAATCTTCTCTAGATGATTCTGAAAGTTCAAGCGAAGAAGAACAAATTGTGTGCGATAATAGAAAAAGGAACGAAAGATGGGACGATTCGGAAACCTTAGAACATACAACAGATTCTCCTATAGGGTTTTGTCGTAATCATCCGTTAAGAAACAATGCTAGAATTAAAAATCAAGGAAGTGGGACGAACAGAAACAATAAAATTTCAATGGGAGATCGGAGTTTTGTTTCGAATAATCATTGCCCTCCCGAAATAAGTGGATACAATAAGAAAAGGTAAGATATATATTATTAAAAACAATTTTAAATTATAAATAATCATTTTTAAAAGTTTTATGAATAGAGAATTAAACTAAAAACTACAATGAACTTGACCTAATTACGATATCTTTGTAGTCAAGCACATCTAAATGTCAAGTTGACGTCGAAATTCTGTGTAAAATTAAAAATAAATCACGCGTTGAAGCCTGTCATTTAAAAAAATAAAAATATGGAGTATACATGTAAAGAATTTCTTACTGACTAGTTTCGTTTAAGATTAGTAATTCTTTTATTTATGATAGAAATAATTTTTCTGTCAGATATATCTCTCTTATTATCTAGAAAGCAACGAAATAAAAACAAAAATTTACATAAATAGGATAGTTTTTCTAATTGTCCTAATTTATGAAACACTCTAATTACTTTATTTTTTTTATAAAAACAAATTCTGTTCTACATTTCATTTATTATTCATATCACAATTCATTAATTTATTTATTTAAAAAAACCACTTTTAAATTTTATAAATGAAGAAATACAGTACATAAAAAATGCGACATTTTAAATTTATTATTTTATAAATTTTTAATTAATAATAATAAATTTGTCGTTAATAAATGCTATTGTAATTTATCATATTTTTTATAATAATTAAAAACAAAAAAAACCTGAATATACAGATTGACCTAAAAGTCAGTTAACCGTGTTTTATTTTGCGTGTTCCAAGTATACTTATGAATATGAATCATAAACTGAATTTAGAATAACTTTTTTTTTCTTAAAGAATCGATAAAAAATATGATTAAATATTTAAATATTTGAATAAGGCATTAGTTAATCTTTACAAAGGTTAAGTGACATTTGGGCCACCCTTTATATTAATACATTTTAATTGTAATATTTAAAATGTAATATGTTTTTTTTTTGTAAAGATAAATATTATATTTTTACTTACTTCTCTATATATTTTTTTCCTTCAGTGATGCATTTATGGAATTTTTACAAATATTTAATCTAGATACAGATGATTTTTAGGCTATTTCGATATCTATAAAACTTGATTTTTTTTTCTACGATTAAGAAAAGAGTAATGCATTATCAATATATATAAGAGTTGCCTGCTGTGTAGATATTTTTAACTTTACTCTCCTTTTCATTAATCTTGTAAAGAATTCCGATCGCATATTTCATCAGATTCTGTATCTCAGCAACCAACTATTTTCGAATTCATCTTTAAAGATAGAAACGTGCGAAGTTCTTATATATATATCTATATATAAGAACTTCGCACGTTTCTATCTTTAAAGATGAATTCGAAAATAGTTGGTTGCTGAGATACAGAATCTGATGAAATATGCGATCGGAATTCTTTACAAGATTAATGAAAAGGAGAGTAAAGTTAAAAATATCTACACAGCAGGCAACTCTTATATATATTGATAATGCATTACTCTTTTCTTAATCGTAGAAAAAAAAATCAAGTTTTATAGATATCGAAATAGCCTAAAAATCATCTGTATCTAGATTAAATATTTGTAAAAATTCCATAAATGCATCACTGAAGGAAAAAAATATATAGAGAAGTAAGTAAAAATATAATATTTATCTTTACAAAAAAAAAAACATATTACATTTTAAATATTACAATTAAAATGTATTAATATAAAGGGTGGCCCAAATGTCACTTAACCTTTGTAAAGATTAACTAATGCCTTATTCAAATATTTAAATATTTAATCATATTTTTTATCGATTCTTTAAGAAAAAAAAAGTTATTCTAAATTCAGTTTATGATTCATATTCATAAGTATACTTGGAACACGCAAAATAAAACACGGTTAACTGACTTTTAGGTCAATCTGTATATTCAGGTTTTTTTTGTTTTTAATTATTATAAAAAATATGATAAATTACAATAGCATTTATNAAAAAAATAAGTACGAGTGTTTCCTCAGAAAATACTGTACTGTACTTGTATGTATTGTTTACTTGAGAATATAACAGAGAATAAACTGCCCAAATACCCTTAAACAAAGGAAAAGTACGTCCTTTATGAAGGCATAGAGCCTTTACTACATGAAAATGAAAATTAATGAACACACTGTGTACAGTAATTTACTTGATAAGACAGACCTCAGAAAAATACTTTGAGGCATAAAGCTGTCTATAATGAAAATTAATTAACTAGGGATTTTTTTGCCCTGCCAGGGTGTGGCCGAGTTATCCGGAGTGCCGAGTTTTCGAGGCTCTACTGTATTTATTTTTTAAAATCAATTATTCTTTAGCTCGAACTTGCTTATTTTTTATACCTTTACACCATTTTAACAGATCCATCGTTCGGCTAGGCCTACAATATTTTATTCTGTATTTATTTTTTAAAATCTATTATTCTTTAGCTCGAACTTGCTTATTTTTTATACCTTTACACCATTTTAACAGATCCATCGTTCGGCTAGGCCTACAATAAGTGGTGAGGATGGGACTCGATATTTTGGGATAGACCGCTCCCGGTTTGTTTATGGGTCCCCTAGACGGTAGACTGCACTTTAACTGTTCGGCTATTCGACTATATTTTGTCGATGCAGGTTTTGTAAGATTTGCTGAGTTGTAAAATCAAGACAAATCCTCTTTTCAGAATCTGTTATTGATCCTAGGAGTTAATTCTTTAATCAATGAAGCATAATGTCATGCGGGGTACCACATCAACTAACAATATTAAAAACTATATTTTAAAAATAAATATTAAAACTTGCTACTTATTGATATTTTATTTATTAGATTTATAGTAATATTTTAAAATGTTATTTAATTTCTTTATCCTGACAAATATATTTTTATGCTATTTGTAAAGAATATCTTGTATTATTATTTGTCGAATCTTGTTCAGGATTAGTTTAGATAATGCTTAAGTTATTTAATAGTCAGGAAATGACTTGTATTCATCATTTTATGCTGTAACATAGATTTAATGGACAGATAAACTCTTTAGGCTATCTTCACGGTTCGACCTATTCATCATCATCATCCTAGTCTATTCCATTTATTTGGTCGGATTTCCGAGTTTCTTTCTCCATTCATCTTAATTTTAAGTTACTTCTATCGTCATTTATTTCTTATCATCACTATTAAGGAAGTTATTTTCTCCCTAAGATTTTTTAATGCCACTCCCCAAATTTTTCTGATAATCCTCTTTTTACAACTTCCAATTGTTTTATCCTCTTCAATGCCTTGCTATCATTTTATAAATTCAGCATATTTAAGTGTACTTTTCTATTTTCTTAACAATCATATTTCACTTTCGCATTCTCTCGAACGTGTTTATTTTTATCTTTCCACATTAAGTTAAAACTTGCATTCTATAAATATTTGAATTTCTGCTACAATCTTCCGTTTCTGGTGTTTTTATTGCCTAACATTCTATACTATTCAGCATCGCTTTTCTCAACGCTGGTCTGAAAAATCTTCTGTTTTGTATTATCAGTACTCGCTTGTCACACACACAAACACACATGCCTGTCTTCATTTATCTAGCCAGCTCCAATTCTGTTTGTTACGTCTCTAATCTCTCTATCACATATCACTGACACCAAATAGTACAGATGTACAATAAATCGTACTAACTAATAGCATTTTTAGTAAATTGCTTATGAACTTGACAATAAGAAAATTTAAATTCTGGATATTCATCAAGATTTTTCGGGTGTTTTGCACGTATGTAAACATGTAAATGAAGTAGCAATAAGTACCCGTACTTATCCTATCCTAAATTTTAACATTAACTTCTCAAGATTCAAGAAACAAAATTTTAACATTAACTTCTTGGCTTTTCGAAATTACAAATTATAAGGTAAATTGACAACAAGGAATAAAATATATGGCATGTTTAGATTTGATTGACCGAGAATAAAAAGTCAAAAAATCTATAAAACCATTCAGCGCTAAACAGGAAAACTGAAACATCGTCGTACTCTATTACATTCGTGTAAATAATCTATGTCAAAAACTATAGATTCATAGAAAAAAAAAGAAAATATTTCAGAAAAATTGTTATACTTTCTCGACAACTATCATGCATTAATCTAGAAAAATATAAATGTCCTAAATAAATTATTCAAATAACCACAATAAATTTTATTTGTATAGAAAGTAGAAATTATATTTTAAACTTCTTTCAAATCCTGAATTAATAAAAATTATTTAATTATTAATTATTTATATTTTCCTTAAAAATTGTTTCTTTAAAATAAAATACTATATTAAAAACATTAGTAAATATAATATTACTGTACATAAGAATTTTTCTGTTAAGTATAATAAAGTTTTCCCAGTTTATTTCCATCTCAATGGGCATAAGAAACCCATTGGAATGGAAGACAAAGAAATCAAGATTTTATTGATATATTCTTATTTATAATAATTTTATTTGTATATATTTTAGTTTATAAAAAATCATGCCAAAATTTCCAAATTTAAACAGAGAATTAATGATTAGAAGAAGCACAATTTATAGAAATAAGGTAACTGTAATTTACCTTAAATAAATAGATCAATTTTGAAAATTGCCAATTTTATTACAGACAATGCTATATAAAAGTATAGAATCAATCAATTTAAATCTATTAAAAACAATTGGACCACGAAGATAAAAGATTTATTCTAATAAAAATGATCATATAAATCTATGTTCAAGTAAAGCATAATATAATAAATAGAGCTTATTTATTAAGGTAATAAATGTTATAAAATAAACAAGAACGTAAGGATATTGTTATTAAATTAGATGAATAAGTTAGGATTTTTTAAGAAAGAGTACTATTTTATTAAAAGAAAAAGGTATAGACGGACTAGACGTAAGAGTTGTAGTCCAAAACTATAACACGTAACAGGTTAACAGGCCCTTTCTCTTCTACGAGGCCCTAAACTATAGACTCATAACGCATAAGCTGCGGCTTATTTATATGCGCAAATTTGGCCCTGGTTGTATAATAAAGATTATTTCAAATTTCGCATAAAAAAATCAAAAAAATTCTTCTTGAATTCGTACTTGGATCCTTCAGGCGATAAAAGAGACCTTTGCGGTGTGGCTTAATAATAGGCTACTGTATATACAGCTTATATTGTACTGTACTACTTAAATAGAAATTAAACTATAAATTAATCTTTTAAACTGGGCTTACATAAGAACTTTATAAATAGATCATAACGATTTCTATGTATAAGTACAGTAAATAAAATACAATAATCCTGAATTTTGAAATTTCTTCAGTACATAACAAAACATGCCTCATTTTGTTCTACATAAATAATTTATTATTTATGAATTTTATTTTTACTAAATTAATTATCTTGGCATATAAGATTTATTTGCAATTTAGCAAATAAATTCATTATTTACTTAATTATTTAAAAATATTTTAGGTAATATCATGAATAGTTTAATTTTCCGTCACTAGATGGCAATATGATTTTCTCTACATTAATGAAAATAAATTTATTTATACGTTTACAGTTTCATTGCTTTTATACAATAATAATTAATTACATTTATAAAATTATTCGAAAAAAAATTATAAAAATTATTTTGAATAATTAATTTAATGAATAAAAACAGAGTTTAAATAATAATTTCCATAAATGACGAACGAAAAGTAATCAAAAATAAAAAAAATATATATATAATACGTTGTAAATATTACCTTAAATTAAAAGAATTTTATCTTTTAATTTTTCCGATAATTTTCATTATTTTTCGCTTGAATGTTAGAAAGAATTTCGAATTTTAACAATTTTCTTTATATAAATATAAAGCTTACATTAATTTAATTTACGTATTAATAATATATTTATGACAAAGTGAAGTTCTTTGTATCGAAGACAGCTTTAATAGCACTAAAATTAGATTTGTATTGATTATGTCTACGATACAATCTACTTTAAAAAATCAACATGTTTCCATCAATAAATTTATTGCGAAGGGGAAAACACGTAATGGACTATACATTAATTTAAAGTTTTTAAAAAAAATAATATTTTGATGTGAAGTATCAAACTACACACTCTATTAATTACGATTATAAATTTGTATACGTATTTTTCTTCGAATTTTTCTTAAAATCACAGCAAACTTCAAGTCTAGAAAAGTGATTTCTTGCTGAGAAATTCTTCGATAACATTAACCCTTCTCTATTTTCGGGCACGTTTCTTTTTTATTTCAATGGATAACAACATTTTGCAACACCTAGTCACTTAAGCAATTATCACCTAACAAGCGAGAGAAAGGGCTGTTCCTTGTCACGACAGTTACCACAGCAACCGTTAACTATCAACTGTTGCCAAATCACCTTTTTTCTCTTCTTTTACATTATACAGCACGATTTAATTTCTAAATAAATATAGAAAACAAAGTCTAATATGTAATTTAGCTATAAATTTAATCGAAGAAATTTAATTTTATCACGTTTTTAAAACAGTAATAATGAACGAAGTAATGGTCTAATTCATACTAAAAATTTATGAGGTGTAATGTTTTTTAAATAAGAAATTTCTAATAATTTATTTAATAATTGTAATAATAATAAATCAATTTTAGTTAATTATCTTCTTTATATTAATATTTAATATATTACTAAGGACAATTTCAGCTTAGTCTTCAATATATTTTCTGTTTTTCAGAGATAGATACTGCCAAAGAAACGAAGTTTATCAGTTGATATGATATAACATCTGCAAATCAAGTAATTTTTATTGTTATTTTTTAAACAACAAATAAGAAAACTATGAAAATTCTTTGGTGTTTATAAATAAATCCTATTAAAATAAGTATAATAAGCTTACTTCTTAATGGTTTACTAATCTTTAAATCCTATTATACTTAAGAATAATCATAATAAATCCCATTATTATAATTCTGAAATGAATCCTATTATAAATAATCCTTTTCTTATTTTACAGCTTTGAATATAGTCAAGTTATTAAAAGAATACAAGTTGCCATTTTACTGTTTATTTAATGGAGAATATTGTTATATTGCTCAATATTTTTCGATTACTTGTAATTTATCTCAGGTATTAATATATGTAATTCTAGAATAATATATAGGCCTACATGGAAGGTATTTGGATTCAGCACTAATGTTTTACTAAACTTAATATTTTAATTTGGAACAATCGACATCATTATACAAAACTTCTGTACAGTATTACGTCAAGAAAATGTACACCTAATTGTTAAATATATATTTTTTTTTTCATAGACAAAATTGGCCAATTATTTAGGTTCCTAAACGTGTAATATGTTGGTTAAATGTAGTTTTATTTTTATAAAACAAGGACATCACTACTTACTATATATATACAAATGAAATTTAATATATTAATTTTATAATATCCTAATATATTTTGAAACAATGTTTAATTAATAGAATTTTGTGATTTTAAAAATACAAAATTAAAATGTATTCAACGATATTAAATGTATATAAAACTATGAATTTTTGGCATTTATTTATTAATTTCCTTTACACATTATCATTCGCTGCAGTTACAAAGCAAGTATGTCACAGGTTCTAGTGAAAAAATACTAAATGCATAAGTGCATAAATATCGTCACTAAAGTCCTAGTGATAAAATAATTTTAGAATCTAGTAAGAATTTTATTTTCGACTAGAGTTACATATATAGTATTTAGCATACATATTCCATAATTTTGTATGGGTTTTAAAATTATTTTTTTCTCTCAAAAGATGTTTGTAACCAATAAATTTTTCAAATTATATCGCCAAAAATTTGTGAAAAAATACCTAAATTTTATCTTTGATCAAGGTTAGAGCGAAGAAAAGGCAGATAAAGTTTAAACCTCTGGGCTCTAAAGGAAAGTTTACAACACCTTTTCTCATTACTGATAGAAAATAATTCGTAAAAATTGGCAACGAGAAGTTAATTATTTTAATATTAATTATTGAAAAAAAACCCATATTTTTGAAAAGCTATTTTAGCAATGCATTCTGTTAAAAACGTGCATAATATATTATATATAAATTAGCCAGCGTGCCTCAATGCCTCTAATTTTTGATGTTTCCTTTCTTAAAAATTGGTTATTCTATAGAAAATTTGGTTAATGACACACACAGACATCTAAATAACCTTTATTTCGTCTAAACATGAAAAAAAATTTTAATTTTATAAAATAAATACGAAAAGTTTCTCACTTAAATCATTTGACATTTATAAAATTTAACGTGCAGACAGACACTGACAAGCAGTTAAGTCAACTCCCGTTGACTTAATAAGTATCAAATTAAATACTTCAAAAGTTTATTAGATATTTCATCTGAATATAAAGTGAATATAGTTATTTAATTATGAAAAATTATTATTATTATATAATATTTTCGCGTATTTTTAAGCTATTTTGAAATCAAAATTGTAATTACATACTTCGTGCTTTCATTTAAAAATAACTATTATTATATTAATTAAAATTAGGGAAGTTAATGTTTTATATAATAAAAATCACAAATATATACTGTATTACAAATAAGTTTATTTTCTTCAAAATTCACAACAAAAATAGTTAAACAATAACTTTTATATATATTAATAATTTGAAATATTAACGTAACGATTACCTTTTTAAAATATTCTAACATATAACACGTCACAGTACTTAGTTAACGTAATCGAAATCAGCATTAGTTTGATAATACATTTAAAATTAACCAATTAAATATTATAACAAACATAAAAAAATTTTTAAATTATTAATTATTTAATCATTAAATGGAGTGTAAAAGATGGTTGTGACATATTTCGTTCGAAATCTTTGAATCACACCGAGAACAATGATGTCTTCCTAAAAAACAATAATAATTAACTGTCATTAGTATTAACGAGAAATAAATCTATTAAATTATATTTAAAATTATAGAATAAATTATATAATTTATTCGAAATTTTTATATTAGAAAACATCATTTATTGAAAGAATTATTTTGTGCATAAAATCAAGCTGTAATTCGTTATTATAAGAAAGTATCGTACTGAAACTAAGAGAATAAGAATTGTTAGTTAAAAAAACATAAATTTCATATACGCGAGACAATTTTATTATACTTTTTAAATAAATTTTAGATTTGAATTTATGATGATAAATAATTTTTTCTTTAAAATAGAAATTAATATTAAAATTTTTGTAGTTAAATTTCAAAAATGATATAGGAAATAACAAAAAATTACTTAATTAAGTTAGCATTTTAAAAATATAAATATATTTGATATCTTTAAAATTTCTAATTATAGGAAAAACAATTTAAATTAAGCCCTATCACTTGGGGCCAGCGCAAACTTTGGGTTCGGGCCTCACATTTACGGAAGCCTCACAAAAGGCATTTGTTACAGATTATTCTATAGCATTTCTTGAATATTTAAAATTTCTTTAAATTTTTATAAATTTTATTATTGAAAAATATCAACTTTTTTAACTTTATCTCTCTTTTTTTTTTAAATATAATGGGGGCCTCGAAAGGTAAGTGGCACCGACTCCTCTCGACTTCCTACACTGATTTTAATGAAAGTAGATCTAAGAGATTAAATTAATAAAAAAAAAGAATATATCTATTACACGTATGTAAATTTTTTGAAAAATTATAGTAGAGTACGTAAGCTTAATTATCGTGATATAAAAAAATTAATTTTAAAAATTAACGAACATTTACTTACGCAATCATCGCGTATTAAGGATAGCCTATTAATTTTCTTACATATAAACAAAACATATCATTATTTATAATTAAAAAGACAGTTTATTACATATAAGTATGTGATACTAAATTTTTCACACGGCTTATAGTTTACGAAACAGAAATTTCTCTATGTAATTTATATAACATCATCCAAATATTATGGTTTGTGTATTGCTATAAATGGCCATAACAATAATAATAACTAGTAAAACAGACTAAATGGCCCAAATATAAACATAATCCGTACATTTCTACGTTGCTACTAGTGTCTAATTTCAACTGAAGTTTACTGTCCGTGCTGCAATTTAAAATTTTCACTTGAAAATTAGCAACTAAACTTTCTAAAACTTACCTAATTAAATTGATTTTTAAAAATTTTATTTCAATTAAAAGTTTAAAAAAATTATTTATTTTATTAATTAATTTACCTGTATTGATAATGTGTACAAATGATTTAACATAAAATGACTCGGTTGTGGAAGGATCGAAGTTTCTTTCTAAAAAAAAAAAATCAAAAGAAAATTAATAAATGTTCAATTGTAATTAAAGATATATTAAGAATAAGTCATACATCACCTGTTCTGCATCGACATTTAAGATAATTTGAGATAAATGAGGCGGCAAAGCTGGTGGTCCCGACGATATTCTCTCTCTCGGTATCTCTTGGTTAAAATATTCAGAGGGAGATGGAGGGCTATCTACAAAATTTAACTGTTAATACATACGACTAAAAATAATTTATTGATAAATTTAAAATTTTACGACGATGATTTTACATTTTAAAGGACTTCCTACATCCTGATTATGCACGTTCAAGGCATCGAATATTTCGAAATCGTCATATTTTACGGTAAGAACGTTGTAGTTAAAATTTTCTTTAACGGTCAAAGGCTTATAATTGGAAAAAAAAGTATTATTATTTTAAATAATAAAAAAATAATCTAAAAATTAAATTATTTGTTATACTTGTTTATCGTCATATTTCCAAATTCCATCAACTAAAAATCTATATCTATATTCTCCTTCGGGCATGTTTAAAATGGTCATAAAACAATCATCACTGAAAAAAAAAAAAAAATATATATATATATATATCAAGATTAATCTTAATGAAATTAAAATATTTTAATAGGTTTGAAATACCTTTTCGCCATTTCTACAAGTTTCCATTCATTAAAAGAGCAAGCAACAAATACTCTGTTTCCTCCTTGGCACCATCTGAATACAATGGGCAATGATGATTCACTGATCGTCATACACGGTGTTAAAGTGCAGCATCGATGTCTTAATTCTTCTTCCTAAACAAGATAAAATTATTAATATAACGAAGTTAATTTATTATATACCAATCTCAATAACAATATTTACTTTATTTCTCTTATCTTCTTCTAATTTTGATGGACTAAATCGTACAAAACGTTGTAGAATCCTTTGCGAAGCGGTTTTATATCTAACAGGACTACAAAAATAATTCTCATCAGAAAATGGTGATCCTTTAGAGGAATTATTACAAGGCGAAAATTCATTCTTGGTTCTTAATGCACAAGGTATATGAATGGGCTCGGTTTTAACCATATTTCTTTTTATATTAATTTTTCTAGAATTTCCCGATCGTTTAGAATTAAACAGGCATTTGTTTGTATGACTTGGACCGTTTCCCATCTAAAAATATATCAATCAAAATGTAATTTAATTTTAATAATTAAATTATATTAACTTATAATTAAAACTAATTAACTTACATTGAAATTTTTAGGAAATTTTTTTGTTTCGAAATCATTAATCTTTCAATCGAGAATTAACTCTAAGCGACGATCTAATTTGCATATTCGAAAGTCTTTGTTAAAATTTTTTTTTCTTTTTTGTGAGTAATTAAAATGACTTTTCTTAATTATTTAATAATTCTTTTATTTTAAAGATTAATAAAATAATCTTTAGTGAATATTTAAAATAATTTTCTAAATTATTAATTTTTCTCATTAAAATAATGTTTTAAAATTTTTTTACTTTATGAAAAATGTAGAAATAAAAGAAAATAAAAATAAAATAATAAAATCATGTTTTTATTTATTTTTATGAACTACAATATAAAATATATTTTCAGTTATTTTTTTTTACACGAATGATAATTTAATGAGCATTTTCTATTATAAAAATATAAAATAAAATAAAATAAAATGATGGTTTATAAATGAATTCATCGTTTTATTTAATGATGAATCAGCTTTTAACATGCAATAACTATTCTACAAAAGTTTATATTTAAAAACATTTAAAAAAAAAAAAAACGAATTTTTCGTTCAATACAAATTTATTTAAAATACAAATTTCTTTGTTTTTTCCCCCAAATTTTTAAGCGTTTAGTTGTCGTTAATAGCAAACTGTAAAATCCATTGAAGTAACTTCTTTACTTCTATGTATATTAATGGACATCCATCATCAGCGCATCTGCATCCGTAAGAAGTTCGAAGTATGCCAACTAATTTATCTTCATTGTTTTCATTAATTATCAAGCTTCCTCCACTTTCTTCCTAAAAGTTAGAATATTTTAAATAATGAAAAAAAAATTTTTTTTTAAAGCAATAGAATTAAGAAAAGGACAGGACTTACGAGACACGAAGTAGGATGCGATGTTTTTCCACACATTTCCTTATATTCTAATTTATAAAATGTTAAATGGTTCTCACAATATTGTTTCTTTGTTATTTCTGCATTCATTTTCTTAAGGATATAACGTGAAGCTATTAAAAAAATATTATAAAATTTATATATATATATNCTACTACTACTACTACTTGTTTATGTATATTTTATAAACACGAAAAAGAAAAAAAAAATAAGTAAGAAGACTCTTATTACATTTTCTAATAAATTAAAGATAAAGCATGAAAAAAATATAGAATATTTCAAGGATTAATACTTCTACCATTAATTTTCACTTAAAAGTTAAATATATAGTTTTAACGATTCAACTTTATTCTTAAAGATTTAAAAGTTATTTCTAAATGGAAAGATCATAATTATCAAATGAACTGTATTAATGAATGCACTTCAAAACTGTAAAAGTTTGAAGCATTAATATGTAAATTCTTCAAACTGCAACGAAGTTGATCGTAAATTTTAAATTAAAATTTCAATTTTTTAGTTTAAATTATGATAAATTTTAAAAAAAATTGCATGTTTTAAGTAATTTCGATGCACGCCATTTTGTTCTTTAAAACATAAAAAAAAACAATTATCTTAAATTTTAGTATATGATAATCTAAGATTATTTTATATTTTAAAAATAGCAAATCTACTCACTAGACTTTTCTAATTGCCAACCATTAGCGATTGCTTTATGAGAATAAGACATATCAGCAGTTGGTAAGGCTATGGGTTTCACATAATCGGTTACGGTGACTTCTTTATCGAGTATCATTAAACATAAATCAGTTCTTTCTTCTTCGGTGGGCATATATATAATTTTATAATCGCCTATAGAATCGTTATAGCTGATATCGATGCCTGGATGTACGATAATCTTATCAAACATTACTTTGACTGCATTTTCCGATTCGCTGTTTATTTCACCTAAAATTCCATAATTATTTATTCTGTCTAAAACGATTCCACTAAATATTAAAATTTAAAAATTATATAAGTCATTTTATTATAAAAATATATATTTGTCTAATTTTCTTAATTATGTAAAAAAAAAACAAATCAAATATTGTTTGAAGAAAAAAATAATATATTTTAAACTATATTCATTTTCTTTCATTAAACATGAACTCTTAAATATTTGTGGAGCGTACAATGACATTTGAATTTGTTGTGTCTGCTACAAATTGCGAAATATTATGTTTTGACCTTCCTGTTAAATAATAGTGAACAAATTTTTGTTTATAAATATGTAAGAAAATCTTTTTAAAACACAAATATACAGGAAATTTATACAAAGAAGAAAAATTATGGCTTTAAACTATAAGAAATTTACACACGGAACTTAGTTTTTTCTCACACTTTTTTTTTTATAAGATGTCCAGAATCGATAATGGAATTTGTCACTCAAAATATATAATTTTTTTTAGAATTTTAATAAAATACAGACAAGTAAACTTTTCGATATGAAAATAAAATAAAATATTTTCTTTATATAAAAAAATATATATCCTATTTTTTTTATTGCATAAATTATGGATTTGTTTATTATAAATGGTAATACTGTTGCATAGATCAGTATTATATTGCAATTTAAATATATTTTTAAAGATCTGTATCATATTTTTGGTGCTATAAATGTCGAAAATATATATTTAATTTGAGATTTTAAAAAATAATAACAACATAATTTAGTTCATAAATTAGCAATTTAAGCTGTTTTAAATTGCAAATAACGATATTCTACTCGTATATATATATTACTACTTGTATGTTAATGAATATTTATTATGCTATTAATATTCTTTTTCTAAAATTAACTAAAAGAATTTTGATCATAAATTAAATTATTATTTTTTAATATATTTTTTCTCATATTTTGTATAATTTTATAAGATTTTGTATAACTTTTTATTTTACTATAGTGTCATGTTCATGTTCTATCTTAAGGGAGGGTATGAAATAGATTTCTGTATAGATTTTTGTTTTGTAGATTAAGCTAGAAAGACTTATACGTCTGGTGTATATCTGTTTACTATACATTTCTAAAATCTTTGACTGATTAGGACAAAATTTTTCATAGTTAGCCTCTGGATCCTGCGGAAAATGTAGGCTCTCCTTGATTTCTTTCCCTTGATACTTTATGATAATTTAAATTTAATGAATTATGTAAGTAAGCATTGAGTAATAATTAACGAAAGCGCCATACGTTCCATGAGTCATATTCTTAGTAATGATCTTAGAATGTAGGATCTTCTAGATTTGAAAGCTTCGTCCAAATAATTCTGTTGATTCTGTTGATTTGTCCTAAAATAACTGGACTTTAATTTTAATGTTTGTCCTTATTTCTTTTCGCCCGCGCAATCGCAAATATATTTGTTATTATATATGTAAAAAAAATACATTTCAGAAAGTAAAGGTATTTTTATTTTTGTTAAATTTCATTTATTAATGTTTAATGCTTTTTGTTAAGGCATGGATATGTTTCCTCTATTCTATTCTATGCCTATATTTACTGAACGAATTGTTAAAAAAGAACACTGGATCTGTATTTTTCAGTAAAATTAGCTCATGTGTTTATTTATTTATTTACTTATTTATTTTTATTTTTTACAATTCGTTTACAGTTTCTTTTGTGCGCCTGTCACTACACTTACAGTATGTAGTATAATAAGAAAAAAAATCTTAATAAAAATACGCATAATTTTGAATAATTTGAATAGACTTTTAATTAATATCGATTTTATTTTACATTCAAATATTTTTGTTACTTTTATTATAAATTTGACATTCTTGTATGTAAATTATGCTACAAAGAAGTGAAAATTATATGACAGTTTAATTATTAGTTCTGATAATAGATGTCAGTCTAGTACATTTTCCATTAAAATTTAAAAAAAATATATAATTTTGTATAAAGAAAAAATAATAATAAAATGATGGAAAATCATTTGTTATATGATTAATTGATAAATTTAATTCTTATTTTTACTATTTTGTTTTGTTGTTAATTTAATAAGATTATTTTTCGATTTTTATTTTATCTGTTTATAATAATTAGGAAAACTGAATATACTAACAACCTCAAACTTTATAAATTTATAAATAATAAAGATCAATGGCATAATCAGGAATTTACTTTAGTGGAGACATACAAATAATCTCAAATTACAGCAGTCATATATAATCTTATACTTTATTATTTGCAAACGTCAAAAGTAAAAGAAATTTGAGATTTAACCTTCAAAATAAATAAAAAAAAAAAAAGTTAAACTAACTTATTAAATAAAACAGCATCAGGAAATTATATAAATAATATTAATAACTATAATGTAGTTATTAATATATAAATATTTTCTATTGTACAGTTATATCTGCTATAGGCTATAACTTATATACAATATAATATAAAATATTAATTATATATATCTTGTCTTTTTTTTTCTACTT